ATTCCCGACTGCAAAGACACTTCGTCCGGCCAGACGAGAGCAAAAGAGGGGATCGCTTCGCGTCACTGTTGTGCGAGTTTGAGTTCAACATTGGCAATACCCAACAACGTCAACAACAAGCTCGGTGAGGTGAGCATATAGCGTATCTTCGATACCAAACCCTCACGCACAGGAATATAGTTATATAATACTTTCAATCAATGGAACTTACTATCATTATTTGAGGTTTATTCCTCAGTGGTGTTGGGGGCTGTCTGGGTGGTTCTGGGTGTCTCAGCCCCTATAACCCTAGACTGCCCAGGCGCAGGAGGAGAATGCTCTCCGCTTCTTGGCCAATATGCTGCTAATGAGCCTTGGCTAATTTTTCGTGGAGCCGATGCCCTCAGGTCCTACCCTCAGCCTCCTAAGCTCAAGCAACCCTCCGAGCTTTGATCCCAAACCTCCTCAACCCTACACCCTGAAACCCGACGCCTACGCACCAAACCACTTTGCGTGCTATCTACATTACTATTTTTCTCACAGAAATGATTGCAAACCGTCTGGGGGCCAGAGAAACGATTGCATGGGGGGTTAACTTCATCAGCGGGTAGTGATCTTCTGGCCAATTATAGCTGAGGCGTGATCCGTTGATGTTTCTCCTGTCGGTGCTGCAGCACTTTTGGTATTTTTGTTCTTGCTCTGCTTCTTCTTCTTCTTGATGTTGAGGTCTTCGCCACTTGTTCACTTGTTGTCATAGTCACAGAAACACAGCATTGGCGACTGTCGTGTTTAGCAGAAGTTCTTGTCCAGTAGTACGTCGTCGACGCCTCAACAAACCGACCCCTACACCCGAAGCCCAAACCATCAGAAACTTTAAGCCTAAACCTTATACCTTGAAGCCCAAACCTTAAATCCTCGGAACCCAAAGCTTTTAAACCTGAACCTCAAAGCCCTGGACCACCCAAATCTTCTGCAAGGACGGGCCATTCTTCTCTGCCACTCTTTCGGGATGAAGAGGTGTCTTGTGTGTAAATTTGGGTGATACCTGATCGCTCTGTATGAGGTTTTATTGTATTGAGTTCAGGCTTTGGGGTCAGAATGTGTTAAGTTGTAATCATGCGTTTGGGGTTTGGGATTAGAGGTAGAGTAAGGCCTCTGCTTTTTCATTTGGTATTCGCGGTGTCGGACAGGATTTGTAGAACAGCCGTGTGTTTTCTCCTTTCTTTCGGATTCAAGGCTTTTTAGCCTGAGGATTGACCCCTGCTGTGTCATATAATCTTAAAACCCCAAACTCTAAGCCCTCAACCCTAAACCCTAAACCCTAAACCCTAAACCCTAAACCCTAAACCCTAACCCCTAATCTAGCCCGAAATTGGGGATCTGGGCTCCGGTTTGGATTTAGGTCTGTTTTTTTGTCGAGGCTGCATGGTCTCTGTGCGAAAGGCTGTTGTGGATGATCTCGGGGAAGTTGCAAGCTTCTCCTCCAGAACCTTTATCGGCGAACCCTGTAAGCCGTAAATCCAATAAATCCCCAGCCTAAACCCTAAACCCTAAACCCTAAACCCTAAACCCTAAACCCTAAACCCTAAACCCTAAACCCTAAACCCCTAAACCCTAAACCCTAAACCCGAAAAGCCTTGTCAACCTTACGTTCTCCACCCCAAGCCTGGACTCCCACGACTCCCTAAGCTTGTACTACTCGGGGGATCATGGGATTTAGTACGTCTGGATACAAGTACCTTAAATAGGGCCATATGTTACAGTAAGTACAGTTGCCTTATTTATAGCCCCAATTAATTACTAAGTCCTATGATGATTGGAATAAGCGTTGAGCTTGAGACCTTTGGTCTCAAGTTATTGTTTGCATCGGCGGAGAAGTTCCAAGCAATGTAACGTAGGGGCCGGGATATTAATGACAATGTCTCCTCGTAATTCCTGTATCATTCTACTGATGTACGCCCCAAATCTGTTCGAATTATTCAGTAAGGTCCCTATTTTGCCCAAAGATCACAAGACTCCTCAGTTGGACAGCCTACCTCAAAAAGGCATCAACCAAGGGGCGCAGCGCCAAATAGATTGAAAGATACCAAGCGCCAAGGGCTTATTTAGGGCTTAGGGTTTACCCATAGG